AATGTCAAATATCGAGAATATTTAACATCGAAAAACATAAGAAAAATTAATTCCTTGGAAATATTCATTCTTTGCCTGATGAAGGTCACTAGAGCAGAAAACCGTGTAGCTAAATTATGGAAAATATAACATAACATACTTTTAAAAAATACACATTACAACCAAAAAACGTTTGCGGTTTCTTCTCTCTTCTTCTTATATATATATATATATATATATATATATATATATATATATATTAAGAAATGGACAAGGTCCGACAATTTATTTATTAAAGACATGTTTTATGTTTAACGTTGTTATTTATAGATACAAGTATTTAAGCAAATACTCTGTTTATGATAAACAGTATTAAATAACATTTACCGGCCTGAATGTCCGAGAAATTTTCATAGAAAATATTCGTTCTTTGACAGGATTGCATATATATATATATATATATATATATATATATATATATATATATATATATGATAAAAAATATAGTTTAAGACGTTTATATTTATGGTTGTTTTATGATTTGCTTTGTTGATTTAACGTCGCATCACCTCCATATGGGTCATTTAATGCTGAAATTTAATTTTCTTCGGAGCTTTGGAGTGATAAAAATATGCTTATTCTGCTTTCACAACTGAATAAATGGTAGATGATACTGAGCTTACATAATTACTAGAGGCGTTGACATGTGTGTTTTATGTTGTTTTATTGAAGTTACATTTTGGAATACAGTTTGAATTGCATGGAAATCGCAGGATATTATATCTATTAATGTCATGAAGGAGTTCTTTCCTGTTAATTGATGTATTGTTTGTCATTTTACTATAAATAGGTATTGTTGGTAATTTTTTTTATATAAAAAAATGTATTTTCATACTTTCATCGGTTTTTTCGGTTTTTTTTTTGTTTTCTTTTTGAGGGTTCACTATAGCCCATAGTGGGTTATTTAATGCTGACAAAAAATTTTATTGCTGGTAATAATTTGTTTTGTCAAAAATCTGTTTCTGGTAACATATTTCCTTCAAAATTGTATTGCTAGTAAAAATTTTTTTCAAAAAAAAAGGAAATATATAATAGTTAACTATTTGCCCATAGCTGGGTCCCAATCAGGTGCTACCACCCCGAGGTCAAGGTGAACGTGGGAACAACAACAAGTAAGAGGTAGTTCAACGCTCCTCAAAACCTCCAATCCCCCGATCAGAGCCCTAAACGTTTATCGTCATAGCCAAGAATACTATATTTACGAGCTAACACGAAGTCACAAGTCATCGTGGCCGAGGGCTTGAGCGTGCTGACCTTCTTCAAATTGTTGATCACGCTAGATAACACGTTTTCTCCCAGAAACTGTAACTAAGGTCTGCTCAGGATAGTTGCAGTATAAACCACAGGTGGGCTCTGTGGGTGTTGAATAAACGCAAATGCGCCTGAGTAAGGGTCTGCAATAAAAATTGGCTAACCGCCCTAATAGACGGATATCCTCGAATACGAGTGTCCAGCTATACATGCATATTTGTGGGTAAAAGTGCCCAGAGACAGAGCGTATGGTCTGGAGATTGTATTGAAGCATGACTGTCACCATTCGGTATTGACCTCAGTGACTACTAAATACACATAAAGGTGTGTGTGAGTGCAATTCGACTACTCGCTTTCCGAAAATACTCGTCTCTTAGGCTGGCTGGCTTATCGTTGCTCAGGTAGATTTGTGTTTGTTCAACAACCACAAAGCTCACGTGTGATTTATACTGCAATTCTGCTTAACGGAGCTTAGTTAGAGCTACCGGCAAAGAGCGGGTGACAATAGTTTGAACAAGGCAAGTACGCCCAAAAACTCAGTCACGATGACTTGTGTCTTCGTGCAAGCACAAACTCTGACGGCTTTCTAACAGTTACATCTACCCAGTTTCATTCAAGGGGTTTTGGTCAACCCGTGATAGAGTTCCCAGGCAGTTTCCAACGCTACCGCGCGCTAGGATCAATGCCTTATTCCCTTAACATCAAAAAGTTATCTTCAACAGCTGTCTATATTACTGAAATGAGGTATTATAACTATTTACACTATTTACACCGTTCGGATACATGGGTCAGTTGATAAAAACGTTGAATGAGAAATGCAAAATGTGAGTTCAATACCCAGCCATAGCAGATGGAACAAAAACTTGGAGTGTTGAATTACCAAGGGGAATTAACTGATACTGATATATCCCCAAAAAGGCATGACACGTGGAATTAGAACACTCTACCTCCGTGGACTAAATAAAGGGTCCATTTCGAAATTTCAACTCCTATCACCTGAAGAAGGCTGAATTGTACAACTTTGTGCATATACATATATATATATAATATTTTTCAAATAATATATATATTTAAGTAATTCATCGAGTCTGAAAGAAACCCCAACAGAATGCAGAAAGCACTGGACAGCCGTTTCGTCCTATAATTTGGGACTCATCAGCAGTGCGCATCCACTACCGAGAATTGAAACGCTAACAGTTAGGTTAATATGTAAACGTCATACCAACTGTTCAACGAGCCTCGGTGACGAAAAAAGTAAATCAGGGTCAATAGAGCGCCGCTGCTCTCACATTCCATGGTGGAACTCAACTGAGTTTCTCTATAACCATAGGACTGTGCCCCATGGAGACATAACTACTATCACCAAGCCGCTCAAACGTGAGCATTAGAAAAAAGTTCAAGCTATATATATATATATATATATATATATATATATATATATATATATATATATATATTTATTGATAGATGTGAATTTGTGACCCTGGGTTTCACGCTTTAATTCGTCAGACAAACCCAGGGTCACAAACTCACATCTATCCAACCAAATATGTTAGCTCTATCTCTAATATTGAGCGCTTTCTAATAAGTACCGCGCATATAATATATAAATAATTATACATATATATATATATTTATATACACTTTTCACACACACACACACACACACACACACACACACACACAACACACACACATATATATATATATATATATATATATATATATATATATATATTATCCCTCACCAGTAGCACGTCTCGAAGTTTCATGAGTTTCATGCATGCACAGTGCAATTTTAGGTGCTGGGTAGAGACTGGCCGCAACATAATTTAAATTTTAATAAAAATATCTGATTAATACAATGCTGGCGCACTCCATATATTATACAAAGATTACGTTTTATTATTTAAAAAAATATCTATATTGCATTTAAAATAGACGGTATTTTTATTTTATATATATAAAATATAACGGGCATAAATATTTTATTTGATATTTAAATAAACAGAAATTAATGATATTTATTTTTAAAAATATATTAAAATAGACGGACATTTGTGTGTATGTACGTGTGTGTGTGTATAAAATCTACTTATTAAAAAATATAATTAAAAGCTTAATCATAGTGCCTTGTCAGTCCAATGAAGCATGTATAATAGAAGGATTGCTGCCCCAAATACACAATTGCATACACACAGAAACACAGACACACACACACACACACACACACACACACACACATATATATATATATATATATATATATATATATATATATATATATATATAATAAAAAAATTATCGACTTGCCCAAGAAACGCATCCCAATAAATGGAAGTGGTGAGTAGTTGTCTGACCAAATATATCGATATAGATATAAACAATGTGGACACAAGTATCAACACTGGACTTTCACTCCTCAAGACAATCACCATGCAGTGTTGATACATGTGTCCACACTGCCTATATCTATATCGATATATTTGGTCAGACACCTATTCTCCACTTTAATTTATTGGTGTCCCTTTCTTGGACAAAGTCGATAACTTCTTGATAACGGTCTACACTGTCGATACCTATAAACGCTCGATCTCCGATATTGAGCACCTTTACCCCATAAATATAGCAAATCTTAAATTTACACACACACACCCATATATATATATATATATATAATTTAAGTGCCTTGTCAGTCATCTTCAATAAAGCATGTATAATAGAAGGATTGCTGCCCAAATACACAATTTCATACACACAGAAATACAGGCACACACACACACACACACACACACACACACACACACACACACACACACACGTTGCTTGCAAATATTCCATGTAAACAAAAACAGACTATAATTATATCCAAACGGAAAGGAACGAAGAGTAAAATTTCCGCGTTCAAAACATTAATTTAAAGCATTGTGATTTCCCATCTGAAGAAACGTTAATTTTAACGTTGAAACAAGATGTACAGTTTTGTAGTGGGTATGTACATGTTCTAATGTAACAGTGCATAATATATATATATATGTGTGTGTGTGTATGTTTATATATATATATATATATATATATATATATATATATATGTGTGTGTGTGTGTTTAGATTTTCAAATGAATGTTTTAACATTGAAAGTATGTAAAGAATCCAAACCAATGAAAAAATACCGATTTTCTCAATGTTGAATATTTTAAGTCTTCATTTCTTTCAGTTTTTTTTTTTTTTTTTTCGTGAGTCTCTTCAATCAAGTCCTATCGCTCCTTTTTTGTTCAGCTTCATTTCGCTTGAAATTTCGTCATGCCTCTAACGGGTTCAGTAAGGCATGAACACACCAAGTGCAAGTAAGTAAATCATAACATTAGTTGCTTTCCAATTTTTGGAATTTTAAAGATGAGACTCGTATCTCCCATTAAAACCCAGTCAGCGTAAGAAAACTTTCATGGTAGAATCTTTTTTTTTTGTTACTATTGGATTCGTTTCTGTTACTTTCTCAGAGTCACTGTTCTTTTTCTGCCCAAATAAACAAATCTGACCAGTTTCTACGCTTCGTTTGGCATTCAGTCAAGCAAACGTGATACTGGAAAGAGCATGTTTGAGCAAGTTAAATAGAAGGTGAGCAAAGTGTAACACTTATTCAACCTTGAAATAGCTACAAGATATTTACGAAGCTTAGATAAGTCTGGCACAAGAGCAAATATAGGGCATATGCTTCTTCTTCTCTCCTCCTTCTCCTCCTCCTCTTCTTCTCCTCCCCTCCTCCTCTTCTTCTTCTTCTCCTCTTCTTTCCTCCTCCTCCTCTTATTCTCCTCCCCCTCCTCCTCCTCTTCTTCTTCTTCTTCTTCTTCTCCTTTTCTCCTCCTCCTCTCTTCTTCTCTCTTCTTCCTCATATATATTCTTCTTCTTCCTTTTCTTCTTCTTTCCTCCTCCTCCCTCTCTTCTTCTTCTCCTCCCCTTTCTTCCTCCTCCTCTTCATCTCTCTTCATCTTCGTCTTCTTTTTCTCTCCTCCTCCTCTTCTTCTTCTCCTCCCCCTTTCCTCCTCCTCCTCTTCATCTCTCTTCTTCCTCGTCTTCTTCTTCTTCTTCTCTCCTCCTCTTCTTCTTCTCTCCTCCTCCTCTTCTTCTTCTTTTTCTTCTTCTTCTCTCCTCCTCCTCCTCTTCTTCTTTGCGTCGCGTCACTTCAGGACATTCAAAATCTTATTTAATAAACCAAATGATAAAATTCGTCATAAATTTCAGTATAGCCCTTACACACAAATACTCTTGGGAAAGGTATAAATCCATCTCTTCTCTCCCCCCCCCCAGGTATGTGTTGAATAGCAGGACAGACTGGGTTCTTTAGCCTTGGTTGGCAACCAGTCTACTGCAGAAAAAAATAGCAGCATCTGGTCTTCTTCTATGTTCCGCATCTCTTCACAACATAGGCGATCATGGATCTCCACCACTTCCTATTCCTTGTGGCCCTAAGCAATTTTAATCCCTTTGATTGCTTTGTCTTTTACGGATTATCAAACTTTAAAAAAAAATCTGCCTCGTTAGTCATGTATTGAAAGATACTTGATCGCCCAAGCATGTATCACGTATAGCGGTTAACTGATTGATAACCCTATCAGCAACAAATATTGATTCATTATGCAAATTTGAAATGAATCATATCGACACACGAAGAATTGTTCAGACTGTCGATCTTAATGTTCTTGCTATTTACAAAACCTCTTGGCCGATCCATTCTTCGGCCATCTTTATGTGTACAAATCGTACGAAAGGCGGAAAGGCGAATGGCATTTTAGGTGATTTTTTATTATTTTCTATGTGCTGTGTCATTTCAGGATATAGGCGATCATGGCTCTCCACTACTTCCTATCTCGTGTGGCCCTTAGAAGTTTTGTTTCCTTAGCTAACGATCCCGCCAGACGTTTCGAACCCGACTTGAATTGGATCTCTGATTTGCAATTCCGAGCCGTTATCCATTACACTGCGCGCACATCCAAGATTACAGCACTTAGTATTCACAAGCGGTCACCCAGCTATGTACTGACCAGGCTCGACGTTGCTTGACTTCGGTAATCAGATGGCACTGTAAACCCGTATCTGTGGAAATTGGCGCCTATGTTTCAAGGCACTAAAATTGTGCTTCTTATCTAAACATCTGGTCTTCTTCTATGTGTCGCGTCTCTTCATAGGCGGTCATGGCTCTCCACAACTTCCTATCCCTTGCGATCCTAAGCAATTTTAATCTCTTTGTGATTGTTTTGTCTTTTACGGATTATCAAATATGTGAAATGTTATTTAAAGCCAGAAAATATTTTTGGATTGTAAGGATTTTTTTGATATAATAATGTTTTTACTGATCCAGGTTTTACTATTTAACCCATAGCTGGGGGATAGGTGAACCACATATTTTCCAACGTTATTTGCGAGTATGTGAATGTAACGAACCTGACTGGAATTGAAACTCGGCTCTCCAATTTACAATTCCGAAACTTTATCCATTACACCACTCGCACACCCAAGCTTACAGCACCTGGTATCCCCAAGCACTAAAATTGCATATATAAGCATCTGATATTCTTCTTCTGTGCCGCGTTTCTTCGAGGCATAGGCGATCATGGCTCTTCACAACTTCCTATACCTTGTAGCCCTAAGCAATTTTAATCTCTTTGCTAAACCTCCCACCCTCCAGTTCCGTCATCCATTCGCACAAGGTCGTCAGGTAAGTGACTCACGGACTTCCCCTATTTCCCAGCATGCCCCGTTAAGTTCCTCCCCTCTTTCCTCATTATGTGCCCAACGAATTTCAGTTTCCCTGATTCTGGCTATAAGTTTTCCTTAAGACTTCGTTGTTGCTTACTAGCTAAAAAACAAACAAACAAAGAAAACGATCGTACTCGCTGTCCATACGGATTGTAATACAAGAAAAGGTCGAAGAACAGATCAACCCAAACGTTGTGGAGATAAAAAGAATAAGATCAAGAGTTCGAAAAACAAAACAAAATAAAGCGCTGATTATTGTAGACAAATACAGGGTGACTGAAAAGTGAAAACTAACTCTCCATTTTAAAATACTCATAATTTATTTATTAACGATAATTTTTACAAGAAATGGTTTTGAGAGGAAAGCGTTTAGCATGAGGTTTTATTTAAAATTCGATACGGGCACCAGATTTCGTTACCAGCTTCTCGAGGCGTCTAGGAATCGCGTCAATTGATTTCACTAGGAACTCTTGTTGTATGGAAGACATAACTTATCGTATTCGCCTTCACATTCTTCTAAAGTCTTAGTATGTTATAGTAGACTTGATCCTTTAACCAAACCCAAAGAAAAAAAATTTAATAATGTTAAGTCAGGATTCATGGGTGGCCACTCATAGATAAAATACTATAAGGAGTTACTTTTCAATCACCTTGTATGCAGAAGCAGTAATATTAGTGAGAAATCCGACTTTTATTCATGTAGAGGCACGTAAAAATTGGACAACACAAATAAGACTGAGGCAGCGAATTCAGTCAGATATTGGAACACGAGGCTGGTTCATTATAAAAGTAATAAACATATAAATAAGAGACTCTTTATTGCATGCAAAATCGTTTCTTTGATCTGAAAAAAGATACAATTTTCCAAAAAAAAAAAAAAAAAGAGAGAGAGAGAGAATGGCTCGTTTGGACTTGTTCAGCCCAATCAGAGAGCGTGTAAAATAAACCACGACTCATATCAGCTAATGATGAAATACCAATGTAGGGCACCTCACTGTAGGGTAACGGTTAGCGAACAAGTATATTACTACAGTATAATGAGTTCTCCAAAATTCGTGATTTTTGCCAAACATTTCTAAGCATAGAAATGCGTAATAGCTCCCCACCGTAGAGCAATGGTTATCGAGCAAATCTATTAATACTATGTAGAATGTTCGATCATCATCATATCAAACACATTAATGGTCTTGTGTCAGACTTTGCTATGTATAGAAAATACAGAATGACGACTCGCAACTCTATTACTACTGTGTAGAGAGTTCGATCCTCACCATGCCAGCAATATTTATAGTCTTGTTCCAGACTTTGCTAAGCATAGTAAATGCGCAAAGTAGTCTCACCGTAGGGCGATGGTTAGCGAACAAGTCTAATTCTTTTCTTTCTTTTTATGTGCCATGTCCTTTCAGAACGTAGGAGATCATGGCTCCCCACCTTCTTCTATACCTTGCAGCTCTCAACAAGCTCCTTCCCTCTGCTTCCTCCCCAAGACCACGTTCTGTTATCCACCTGCTCAAGCTCGCCAGGTATGTCACGCGCTGCTCTCTCTTTCCCTCTATTCGACCCGTGAGTGTCAGATTCTCCAGGCCTTCTTTCCTCACTATGTATCCCAGAAATTTCAGCTGCCTCTTTCTGATGTTAAGTATAAGTCTTCTCCTTGTTTGCAACCTCTCTAAGACCTCATCGTTGATCACGCTCGGTCCATGATATCCTTAGCATCATTCTGTAGAACCTCGTCGCCTCGTCTCGTCTTCGTCTTTGGGGAAATCGTCCAACATTCGCTGCCGTAAAGAAGGACAGATGTCACGTAACAGTTGAGTATTCTTTTCTTTGTTACCAAAGAAATCCTCCTGTTTCGCAATACTCTGCCCAGCTTTTGGAATGTGCCCTTGGCCATCCCAATACGTCTACGGATCTCAGTGTCGCACTTACCGTCCTCTACCAAGACGCTTCTCAGTTATTTCGACGTCTGCTTGATTCTAGTGTTCCCGGCCTGCAAATTGTATAATGAGTGCGATCAATATCACTCCTCCACATTAATGGTCTTGTGCCAGACTTTACTATGCACAGTAAATGCGTAAAGGAGCCTTTGTCTATTACTACTCTGTAGAAGGTTCGATGCTAACCTTGCTCCCAACATTTGTAGTCTTGCGTCAGACTTTGCTAAGCTCAGTATATGTGCAACGGTGCATCGCCGTAAGGCAATGGTTAGCGGACAAATCTATTGCAACTGTGCAGAAAGTTCTATAGTATTGCCAACTTTTTAGTCTTGTGCCAAACTTTTAAAGGTTAGAATATATGCAAAGCGGCATCACCGTAGGGCCTTAGTTAGCGAACATATCTATTAATATTGTGTAGAGAGATCAATCCTCACTGTGCCTCCAACATTTGTAGTCTTGTGCCAAACTTTGCTAAGAATAGTAAATGCATAAAAGCGCCTCGATGAAGGGTAATAATTGGTGAAAATAATAAACAAAAACAGAATTAATTCTTGCGTGTAACAATTATTTTAAAGATAGATTTCTCATGCAGAAAATGTAAGCAATTTAATTGCAAAATTATTTAAATACTAGCAGCCATGTCGATCAGAAAAAGCGTTCAATTAGAATGGAGCAAAAACAGCATCATGTTTAAATGTAACAGAGTCTATCTTCTTCAATTACTTTAAAGTACTTTCATTAAAGAAACATTTTGAATTAATGCAGTTACTGATATAACAGGAGTAGTCTGTATTTATTCAATCGAAATTATCCGAGGACATGAAGGGGTAAAACAGGCCATAATGAAGACCCACTTCAGACCACAATTATTTTCGAGTTTTTGAAATCCAATTTGTCAGTATACTAACAGGAATATAAAAGAGGATACATTTATAAAGCAATTGTTACGTTTGTTGAAAACTGATTGAAAGATCAACGAAAAATGAGAAAGAAACCAGTAAAAATCGCCATTTTTTGCTATTTACGCAGGTTTTCACAATAAGTGTGGACTCAATAAATCTTTGTTAAACAATCAACTTATTATTGGCTACTATTGAGTGAAGTTTGTATTAGATTGTTTGAAAATTGATGGAGTTTTTAGTTTAAAACTTGTGTTGAAATTGATTTTTCGTTTTTCGTGTTTTTTCGCTAAACGCAGTGGCGTAGAAATAAACATGAGGTATCGTTGATCTCGTCATGATGTAAGTAACCTACATTCTGAGTTTGAAGGAAATCAGAGAAAAAAGTTGAATTTATCGATTTTTGATCGGCTTTATCGATTATTGATTTTTAAAAAATTATCGATTTTTACGCTAAAAGCCTATCTCTTACATTGTACAATGTGGGTTCCAAGTTTGGTCAATATCGGTTGGATGGATCTCGAGTGAAAAGGCATCACGCAGACAGACAGGCATCTTCTGTTTTATATATATATATATATATATATATATATATATATATATATATATAGATAGATAGATAGATAGATAGATAGATAGCCGTGACCCATTAGGATGTCAGTGATCACTTCTAGCCAAAAGGTTTATTTGCTGTTTTCCTCTGTCCCATCGTTCCTTTAATTCCTAGTGTAAGTATTTAATTCTCCAAGTCCCCCTCCATCATGCTATGTCCCAGAAGTTTCAACTATCTCTTTCTCATTTTAATTATAAGTGTTCTTTTCGTTCGCATTTTCCTTGATCTGCCAGTAAATTGTTCAATATTTTTGTTACTGTGTTATACACCTAAGCCCAAAAGGATTGATATTACATAGCCGTTAAGCAACTTTTCATTGTATTCTCAGCATCCTTCTGTAGAACCACATCTCTGTCGTCTCGTCTCCTCTTTGCTGTATTGCATGGTTGATATTACATAACAGTTAAGTACCCTTTTATTTAAAAGTGTCTCCGAGTCCTTGTGGGTGACGCATTATTTTCCAACCACCAACCTCTCTCTCACAGTCGGGATGTAGCAACCCTCTCGCTGCTCTATCGCTACTTTCACGAAAAGTTCTCGGACGAACTACATTCCTTGGTTCCGCCAGTTCTAATCTTCACGGCAAGGACCCGCCATGCTACTTACAGTGTAGCAAAACAAAATGAAGCAGTTTTTTTGTTTTTAATTATTATTAATAAATTAAATCCTAAATTTAAATTAAATCCTAAGTAAATCGAAATTCTAAAATATTTTTATAAAAAATATTATAGGTTTTAATGATGTGAATCATTTAAATTATATTGCAGTTTACTTTATAAAAATAATTAAAAACAAAAAAAAAAACTTTCATTTTGTTTTGCATTTTCTGATTAATAATGAATAACCCCCTTGAAAGACCACCATACAGTAACCATTAACTTTTGAGGGTGCAGTGAAGGTTTGGTATATTGTTTTGGTGATTCACTTGATATCTAACCACTGGACTACTCTCTTACTATTGTCAAATAGTATCCATTTCTCATCTTGTGTAATGATTCGATGTAAAAATGGTTCTTTTTCCCAGTACTCATAAAGCAGTATTATTCGACAAAGAAATAGAGTCAGGAATAAGTCAAGATCTTTTTTATATACTAAGGCGATTACTTCGTTAGAACACAGGATAAAAAATCAACGAAAAATGCGTTATTTCGTGTGTGACAACCTAATACAAAAATATAAATGTTTTGTTATACAAAATAGCAGTTTGAAACGATGTGTTTTAAATATTTTATATGAGTTTGCGAAGAAGAAAATCCGATAGTCTGACGATCGACTCAGTATAAAGTAGTTTCCGCCATTTTCTGATGTAAGTTGATGCAGACACGAATAATGACAATGCATTTCTAAATGATCTCAACTTGAGCGATAAGAAAAATGCAGCACTTCTTGTTAATATTATTATTTACTGAATTGTTTTAAGCGTTACTAAAAACAAAAGCGAATAAAAACGGGCCATCTTACAAAATTGTTTCTTTTTTTTTCTTTTACGTTACATTATAATCGAATTCTTCGATTAATGTTTTCGTTTTTGTAGTTATTATATGGTCACAAGGCCGAGTGGTTAGAACGTTCGATTTCTGACCATGAGTCCCGAGTTCGAATCTCAATTTCTCAGGAAAGTGTCTTCTTGACGTTATCGATCTGTAGTAGGTACCCCAGTGTGAAAAACAAAGCCTTATGAGTGAAATTGGTCGATGGTTGTGCTAGCACGAAGTCACAAGTCATCGTGACCGAGGGTTTAAACGTGCTGGTCTTGTTCAGACTGTTGATCACTCTAGATAAGTCGCACTCTCCCAGAAACTGTAACTTAGGTCTGCTCAGCATAAACCACATATTAATACTGTTGGTGTTGACTGAGCAAGCGTCTACAACGGGAATTAGCTAACCGCTCTAGTAGACTGGTATTCTCGGATACGAGTGGCTGCTGTTATAATTTATGGTGTTGGATGGAACTAACGCAGGTCAAAATGACAGCCGATATCCAAAACGACTTCAAGTACGTTGTTAACTAATAAAAAATGGCTTGTTAATTTTAACGACTCAAAGACTAAATTCTCTCCGTTAATCATCTGAGAGACGCCTCGCTGCTTTTCATCAGCATGGCTGATGCTAACCTCCAGGAAAGTGTCTCGTTGTACCTTCTTGAGCTAACGATCTCAGCTGATATGAAGTGGGATGACTATATTGAATCCATTGATATGTCAGCTGCTGAGAAAATTGTTCACGGTGTCGTGAGAGTCAGTTTTTCTCTCTAAAATCTTACATATCTATAAATTTGTCGATGCTTAGAATATTATTGCCACATAAGGTGAGGTGCCCCTTCTATTTACCCGGAGCTCCTTGATAAGATCCAAGGAAGAATCAGAAATATTACTGATCCTGATCTCTAAATCTACCATCTGTCCATGTTTAGAATATTGCTGCCACATATGTTCCGGTGCTTCTGCTATTTACCTTGAGCTCCTTGATAAGATCCAAAGAAGAATCAGCAATATTATTGGTCCTGATCTATAAACCTACCATTCATCCATGCTTAGAATATTGCTGCCACATATGGTCCGGTGCTCCTGCTATTTACCTTGAGCTCCTTGATAAGATCCACGCAAGAATCAGCAATATTATTGGTGCTGATCTATAAACCTACCATTCGTCCATGCTTAGAATATTGCTGCCACATATGGTCCGATGCCCCTGCTATTTACCTTGAGCTCCTTGATAAGATCCAAAGAAGAATCAGCAATATTATTGGTCCTGATCTGGCCGCTCGGCTTCAGTCAATTTCCCATCGCGATTGGCTCTCTATGTCTTTTTTAGAAATACTTTCATGGTAATTGTTCAGATGAGCTGTTCGCCATAGTACTTAGACTTTTTGGATTAAAACGCAGCACGAGACTGACGTCGAGATCTCATCCTTTTAGAGTTGAGCTGGCGAGATGTAGCCGTAAGTTCTGTATTAACAGTTTCTTTTCTCGCATTTCTCGCTTGTGGAACTTGTATCCGGCTCTATGCTTTCCAGCCAACTTTTATCTGCAATAATTTATATGCGACGTTAATGTCTACTGTCCTCCTGATTACACATTTCTCTTCCCGCTCATTATTAATGTTTCTGTTCCCAATTTTTCCACACCCTTGTGTCTTAGTGGCTTTACTGCTTTGCATGGGGTAATACCGATTTTAAAAAAGATAGAATTTTAAAAAATGATATCAAAATTAAGTAAATTAATTTCGCTTCAATTTACAAAGTTGGTTTGATTAAGAATGTCTTTATTCCGATAAAACAAGTTTTAGATCTGATATAACAATGTAACCAGCATCAAAATGATTTGTTTGTTTAATAGAATATCAACTCTTGATGGGTCATTTAATTAAGGTTTATTTTTAATCTTATTTTTTGGAACACTTGGTAGAGGATGTTGATTTTTTTTTATTTTGTTCAGAATCATTCTTAGCCCAACTATGAATAGCTATGTCATCGGCATACCCCGCCTCACCGTCAGTACATTGGCCTTAGGATTATCCTGTTTCTAGAAAGTGAGAACTTATGCATTGTTGCACAGGAGTGAAGTGTTTCTTTTCTGCGTTATTCAATCCGATGTATTCTACTCTTATTACGTTCCATATTTATCTCCGGCTCATCTTAAACATTCTCACGTTTGATGATATTTTAAAACATGCAAAGCATTTCAATTGCATAAAAAATCTCTTCAAAAACAATCCCTTTATCCATGGGTGGATTTAATTGAAAGTTAATTCAAATCTTACTGAATGATAAGCTATTGATACCTTATGACAGACTTA